CATATGCTTTTTGAGTATTACCTGTCCAGAAGCTGCATAATTTTGCTTTCTTTCTTAAGGCACTTCATATGTTTCCAAAATTTATAAATTGTATTAAATATCTGTGTTATTATAGCTTATTAAAAAGTTAACTTTTTTTTTATTTAACACTTTTTTTCTGTTTTTAAATAGAAATATTTTTAAAAAATTCTGTTTGGCTTGCAATATTTTCAATTTCTTGGCTTTTAATATCATTTTTTCTTCTCCATTTCTCTCTTCCCTGAATGCTTTTTCTTCCAGAAAAATAACTAAATTATTAGATTTAATAATTAGATGAAAGAAAAATAATTTTAGCAATATATTTATAAGATATTTACCTATTTGAATGTTGTGTAATGAAAAGTTTCATTTGGAATAAAAACTTTTATAAATCAATGCAATCTTAGTTTTCAAATTAGCTATCGATTGCCTAATCTATGATACTGAACAGATAGTTGTAGGTACAAAAAGCGATGAATAAAAAATGCAGCTCTGGGAATTAAATTACCGAAAGTTTATATTTTCTGATATAAAATATGTATTCTCTTCCATTATTTCTCCAATCACAAATTACAATTTTATGTGATATTTAAACTTTTAAATTTTGTGCAGTTTAAAAGTTATTTTAAATTTAGTGAAAATAACTTTTAAACTGCACAGCTTCAGAATAATTAAAAAGTTGTGTTAAGTATCACATAATTTGTTTCATAATATGAATCGCTTATTTTAAAATATTTCTCCATTTTCTAAATGCATTTTTCTGCTCACTTTAATGTTAAAGCTTAAATTCTATACAGTTTTGCATGGTTTATTATGCAAAAACATAATAAATTTGCATGAATTAATAATTCCAGTTCATGAAACAATTGTTACGAAAGCTGAGTCACGGAATAGCTGCGTTACACAGTTCTGAGAGTATGTACTTTACATAGCACATACTCTCAGAACCTTCATAGCAATGCTTAAATGCTATTAATATTTTCTACGGTAAACTGAATGAAACTCGGCTATTTATATGACAAACTGCGCAAGTTCCATATTTTAATCAACACATATAGGGAGTAAACTCTTACTGTGTACCAACATAAAGATAACAGTAATAATTTGAAAGCTCAATTAAAAAATTATTATTTAGAACGTATTAAGAATTAGACAAATAACTTCCCCCCCTCCCCTCCCCCCCCAAAAAAAATTCATGAGCTTTGTAGAAGCTCAAGAAAATCAAGGTCTTTACTAGCCACAAATTTCTGAAAATACAGAATGAAATCGGGGACCCTTCTTTAACTTGGGCACTTGTAATTATTTTAATAAGATTTTAAAGGTGAGGATTTGGATAATATGGTATAAAGTACAATGAAATGCACACATTCTTGCTATCTTTCTCATTTAACAAAAATATGAAAAGAGGCATTCCAGCTTCCTAAAATAAGAAATCCGAAGTGCTAGTTATGTGGATTATTTATTATTTCTTTGTTATCCGAAATTAATTTAATCGTTTATATGATTTCAGTTTTTTTACTTTGATTTAAATAATATATTGTATTTTACTATGCATACTTTTAAAAAGTTGTAAATTTAATCTAAATAAGTCTGTACAACTCAGAACCATAGTGTTTTGGGGCAAGTCAGGTACTTGCCAGCAATGGAGTGCAAATACTGTATAAATAAGAGTTTGAAAGGTAATTAAAAATATTTAGGAGAAGCAATTATGAGATCAGTTATTATTATTATGAGATATTAAAGTTTCATGGCATGGCTAGGAAGCTGTCCAGGTGGGCTTTAAAATATTCATTTTTATTAAAATCAGAAGTGGTTTTAAACTGTAATGTACCAAAAAGCATTAATACATATTTTAATATTGATTTTATTATTTTATTACTGGACCAGGATTAAAGAAACATTTTCTTATCATACTTTTAGTTGAAAAGATATAGATTACACAGTTTCTTTAGCATAAAAATTTGTTTTTTTTATTAATTTTAGTACAGGAACTGTCTGGTTGTAATGAAAGTTTTCTTCCAAAAAAATGCTCTTAATGTAGTAAGGAAAAAAACATGAAAGCAGTGCCTTTAGTGTGGGAAGTAATAATCACCACCCAAATCTATGACTTTCTGCCAATGTTTTGGTATTTTTTCAATGCCTTCAGCCTAGAACTTGGTAACCTCAAGTCCATAAGCAGATAAATCTCATTTTGGGCATTCTGTGCAGAATAGAAGATGGCACTAGCAAGATGTAGCTGCAGGTGTGAAAAAGGGTAGAAGTCCAAAGGAGCGATGTCAGGGCTATATGGTGGGTGTGGCAAAAGATCCCAGGTACTTTTCCATTTCGCCTCTGCAAATCCTGCCAATCGCAGACAGCATGCTCATAAAAAATGTTAACAAATGTTAGTTCTAAGAATTTTTATTTTGAAGGCGTAAACATTTTAATATGGTTTAAAATTTTGTAAAATGCCAATAAATAAAGACAATAAATTTGTAAAAAGACATTAAGAATTTACTATGCTTTTGTGGTTCAACATCCTGATTCGCCAGTTCGTATCACGTGACCCCAAGTGATCTTATCTCATGGAAACTATGCTCCAAAAATCTAATTCTCTCAGTAATTATCTACATTAATTTGAAGTTAAATCTTGTGGAATACAAATTTAAATGCAAGAGTTATTTCAATCCGAATGAATAGCTTACTCAGAAATTATGTAAAACTGCAGTGCTTTACTTCGCTAGTGTAATTACTGTGAGGGCATAAAACTTAACTAGTAAAAATTCTATGTAATTGTATGCCAGTATTGAAAGAAACAATCAATCTGATAAGAAATGGCTACGACTTGTTTTGAAAATGAAGGGTAAAAGGTTACCAGTGAAGATATTCCTTTTGGTATCAGTTGTACCATTAGTGGTGACTATCGTTTGTGCCAGAAAAACAGAAAAGTACCAGATCCCATTTGAGTCTGCAGAGTCCAGCTGGTGAATGCAGACACATGTAGTCTTGCATTATCTGGATGGAACATTGCCTTTTTGCGCCAGAACTCAGTTTTACGTTTTTCCTTGATAGCAGCATCAACACATACTAGCATCTTGCTGTACACCTTACGATCAAGGGTTACTAATACCACAGCAGTCTTCTCAGATACAAAGCATGATCTTTTTTGTTAGTCAAATTGTACTTTTCTGCGCTGCCAACAGGCTCACCGGGTGAAGATGAATCCCCTTTGCTGCCTATGTTGTTGAAGTAAATGAACTTTTCATCACAAGTGACTATCAAGTCCAGAATTTTTTTAGAAATGTTAGTTTTTTTTTGTGTTGACTGTTTTTGTGACCTTTTAGTCACTGTAAAGGAAAGGTACACATTATTTATAAATTTAAAAACTAATTCCACCGATGAAAAATTAATTTTCGTATGTTTTTAAATGAACATTTTCCCTTTGTTTGCAGCTGGAAAAATGCTCTTGAAACAAATAGAAAAACGAAAGTTGGGTATGAAAACAGAAGTTCGTATGAAAATTAGTTTGATTTCTCATTCTTGTTAATAACAAAGCTGTTTGCCGCTTATGCTTAGATTCAGTATCTGTGTTAAAAGAAAATAATATTAAACAGCATAAGTTATAAAAACATCCAAGGTCGAATTTTGGAATATAAAATGAATGAGTATAAGAAAAGGGTAAAACAACAGCCAAATATATTTAAAGCTCTTAAGTTTTTCATCAGGCTTATCAATAAAAGCTAGTTATACTGTCAAATTTGAGCTCCCCCCCCCCCCGAAAAAAAAAACAAGGAAACCATCTGCTGATGTAGGGATGATTAAGGAATGTTTAACTGCTGTTGCAGAAATAGCTTTTCCTGATTGAAAAAAGGTATTATTTCCAAAATTTAGTTTGTGAAAATTTACAGTTGCAAGAAGAATGGAAGACTTTTCCAAAAACATTACTGCAGCTTAAATTGAAGGCATTGAAAATTTTGAATAGTAATCCTTGTCATTTGATGAGAGGTGTGAGATCACATATAGTGATATTTGTTAGAGGAATGTAACTGAAGAACTTGGTTCATTGATGCCAATCACACAAAATACAAGACATAAAAAGACTTGTGCAATGAACTAAAATTGCTGTTGGAAAACTTTCCAGTTTTATTGAAAAATATTGTTGCTATATGAACCGATGGAGTGTGAGCAGTGACAAAACATAATGTAGAAGTCACAGGTGTGTTATTTAATGGTAAAACGTTAACAGGGAGAGAAATATATATTAATCATTATATAATTCATCAACAGAATCTTTGAGCAAAAAAATTTGAATTCTCAAATGTCAACACACTGTAATTTTCTCAAACCTGGATCTGCTTTAAATCACTGCCTGTTTAAGGAACTCTTAAAAACTTTTGGATATGAATATGGTGATGTAATTTATAGCGCTAAAGTTTGCTGGTTGAGTAGAAGTGATGTGCTAAAAGAGTATTTAACTTGAAAATTGAAATTCAGTTTTTTGTGGAAATTAAAGAATATCCATAATATCTCTAGTTCATTGATGAAGAATGGATGTCTGATTTTGCCTTTCTCATTTATTTCATTTTACTGATTTTATTTCATCCCTTGCTTAATTAATTAATCAATAGAGAAAATGAAAATTCAACTTTTTCACCAGCACTCAATTATAAGGGCATTGCCTCCCAAGAAGCTTGGTTTTTTTATAAGATAAAAATTTGTCGCTGTTATAGTGCAGGCAACCTCTACACAGGATACCTTTGCAGAGTTTCTCTCTAGGCAGATATTAGATTAGCAAAGTTGTGCAGCTGTCTTTATCACATGACCATTATGAAGGTACCTTGCGGTAAGGCACAGTTAGTCTTTTTGAGTATGTTCTTAAAATAATTTTAGCATCATGAAAATAGACTGTTGAATTGAAAATAATGTAAAACATAATGTTAAATGATTATTTAAATTACTGAAGTGTCCATATAATCATGGTTAAATTCTTTTCTTTTGTGAAGAATTTGAGCATGGATAGTCAGGATAGCAGTCTGCCTTCAACTCCACAAGATCAAGAGAAGGAGTGGTCTCCTAAAAAACAGGGATCTCCATCAAGATTAGCAAAATCTTCTGCACAGAGTGACACAGCTACTTCGCGTGTTGCCTTACCTTCTGCTAATACAGCCCTTACAGATTCTCAGGTAAATTATAAGTGTTATTAAAAGAATTATTGGTCTAACATTAAATTGCAATTAAAATCTGTTCACGTGGAAAAGTCTGTCATAATAATCACTTGTGTGGAATGTTATAATGCATTGCATTTAAAAACTTTGTTTTAAAGCATTTAATGTTTGTAAAGTGTTTCCCCAAATACTTTTATTCTCTTCTTCTTATTATTTATTGGATGTAGTGATAATTTACATTTGGCCCACTTTCAAACTTTGCTTGCAAATCCTGTCTCAGAAGAAAAGAAAGAAAATTCAAGGTAGATTATGTTTAAAGTTTAATTTCAGCAAATCATTGTATAAAGATGACTATAAATATATTTCTATAATTCAAAATATAAAAAAATCAATTGAAATGTTTTAGATATAAATCTTAAAATGTGAGATCGTAGGCAAAAATCCCTGTCCCTTTCAAGCTTTGTGTTATTCAACCTTTGTTTTGTAACCTAATTATTATTTTTAAATAAAGAAGTTTAATTTCTTTAAATATGAACTATTAGTATGTTATATTCATGATAAAATTTAATTATAAAAGTTTTTTTCTTTAACAGATCAATAGAAAAATAATTTGTCTTCCACTTCATGTCAAGTTCGTTATCTTGAGATTATTTTACCCAAAATTAGTTTCTGTCTGTCTAAAATCTATCGGCCCAAAATCTGTCTAAAAGGGGCAGTACATATTCAATGACAGAGATAAACTAGTCAGGCTAAGTTTGACTACTTTGAATATGTAGTGCTGCCCCCCCCCCCTTTAGACAGATTTACAAACTAATTGGAAGTAAAATAATCTCAATGTAAATGGACTTGACGTGAAGTGAAAGACACATTATTTTTATTGATTTGCTAAATTCTTATATAAAAATTTCCAATTTTTTATATTTTTAAATTGTAAAAATCTAGCCATTTTATGCAATGCATTGCTCAAATTTAACTTTAATTATTAATTTATCTTAAATTTTCTTTTTTTCTTTTTTTTTTTGGGGGGGGGTCAGCATATGTAAGCAAAATTTGAAAATGGGCGATTTGCTTCTTTAGTTTGTTATAACAGGTTACAAATTTTTAAGGAACTCAACAGCGTTGTTCTATGGGTTTTTTTTTAAAAAAAAGAGATTGAAGATATATGTAAGATTAGAATTTTGTTGTCTATGTTTTTTAATTATGGAGTAATTGATATTTATTGGTGTATGAGTTTAAATCTAAAATCAGACCCAAATTGAAATGGTTGAAGAAAGCATTTGTATAATAAATTAATACTTTAGTGTCTTGGCAATGTGATACTATTTTTAATGTCAAATAATTTGTCATGGGTACAATATTAGTAAACCAATGTAACATGACTACTTTCCATTCTTGAAATTTCCAAGGAAAGATTTCTCTGAAAACTAATAAAAATACTGTGAATCCGAATATTCTGTTGTACCATTTGCATGTAAAATTTTCATATTTAACTTCCATGTTTAATTTAGAGTGATGATGAGTAAATGTCCAAACACATTATTGATACACAATATTCTTTCAGATTATCATGAAATTCATAAATTGCTTGCAGGAAGTCTGCTTCAGAAATAAGTCCATATGCAAAATTGAATGACGCAGGTGACACAATGAAATTATGCATACCTAGAATAAACAGTATATTAAAAAAAGTAAAAAGGTCTGTAATTAGTAACAAACTTAAGTAAAAATACAATTTACCCACTTTTATGTAGAGTTGTTAGTAAATTCTTTCTTACACCATTTTTATTGTCAATCATTGTGGGCCAGCCTGTTTTGCTAAATGACAATAATCATGGCACTATTTTTTATATGATTTGAATTCTCACATCACCCAACTGTTAAGTTTTTAGGCCTTAAAATTACTTTTAACACATACTAAGGATATATAAGATAATTGAAGAAATCCATTTTAAGCTTTTATTTATTCATTAGTTAATTCGTACTTAGGAAGGAAAATGAACGGTTGTGTTTCCAAAAATTTATGAATGTTATATTCTCAACTAACACTGCTTAAGAGAAGAAAAAAAAAATGGTAGAATTACTGAGAAAAATGAATTGTAAAATTACAGCCCATGCTGCTATCTACTAGAGGAAAAAGAACTCAATTTTTGATGCCTATCAGTCAATCTCCAAAGTGTAACTTGATGGTATTTACCTCTCCAGGTGTTGGTATGATACTGAAGTGAATATCTTATGTTAATCTTTTACCCGTAATAAACTTTTGACTCTTTAAATAAATAAAATTAGATGAACAGTGACTTAAGAAAAAGAGCAGTAATCGTTTACTTTCATCAAATCAAATAATCTACCAGTTGTTGCTGGGCAACAATCATTGTGGGCCAGCCTGTTTTGCTAAATGACAATAATCATGGCACTATTTTTTATATGATTTGAATTCTCACATCACCCAACTGTTAAGTTTTTAGGCCTTAAAATTACTTTTAACACATACTAAGGATATATAAGATAATTGAAGAAATCCATTTTAAGCTTTTATTTATTCATTAGTTAATTCGTACTTAGGAAGGAAAATGAACGGTTGTGTTTCCAAAAATTTATGAATGTTATATTCTCAACTAACACTGCTTAAGAGAAGAAAAAAAAAATGGTAGAATTATTGAGAAAAATGAATTGTAAAATTACAGCCCATGCTGCCATCTACTAGAGGAAAAAGAACTCAATTTTTGATGCCTATCAGTCAATCTCCAAAGTGTAACTTGATGGTATTTACCTCTCCAGGTGTTGGTATGATACTGAAGTGAATATCTTATGTTAATCTTTTACCCATAATAAACTTTTGACTCTTTAAATAAATAAAATTAGATGAACAGTGACTTAAGAAAAAGAGCAGTAATCGTTTACTTTCATCAAATCAAATAATCTACCAGTTGTTGCTGGGCAACAATCTTATGTTCCATCTTACGAAAATTCAAACGTACAGAAATTGAAGATAAGATGAAACGTAGAGGAGACACCCTTCCCAGTGAAAATGGTTAGGATACATAATCCTTTAAATGGAGTGGAAACCTGATAGTCCTTCCATTGTGTGTGGTATAGTTGCGATTGACCAGTGGCGGGACTGCCCCCCCCCCCCCCGAGGTTCACACTGTGTGTGCAGATCTGGATAATCCATCTGCCTGTGGGTTTCAAGAGGCTGCTTATCATTGCCTTTTATCGTAAAGCATTGTTTCAGTCCATCAATTTAAATTCTTTTGACAATTCCATTGATTTTAGTGTCATAATACTTTCGTGCTGGGTGTTTGACAACATAAGGCCCAAGAAAAACTAGTTGCTAAGAGGGAATGGCCATGTTATTGTAGACGAAAGCATGTGAGCAATTCAAAAGGTGTTTTTAAATGAATACGGAAGTATTGCCATGGGTAGTCATTGCAGAAGGTTTCATGCTACAGATAATATTTTGTAGCCTATGCACGAACTCACACTTAGAGATCGTGATGATGAATTCTCCGGGTAAACAGAGGGGACTTCCGCAAAGAAGCTCGTCTGAAGAGTATCCTATGTCTTTCAGTACAGAGCATAATCCAAGAAGAACCAAAGGTAAAGCGTCTATCCAAGATTTCTTTGTTGTAAATGGCATTTCAAGCAAGACAATTTCTGAGTGCTACCTTTGAGCTATTGCTCCTTTTTTGTCTGCAGCCCCATGGATAAAATGCATATTGGCTGACATTTCTCTTTTTTAGCTATACAAGGTGCTCAAAAACAGCATGGGGTATGAGAACTTATGCCAGCTTAATACCAACAACAATGTATCACTTCAGTGGGCAAGTTTGGCTCTTGCATTCTGTTTAAAAATTTGCTTCTTTCTTTTCCATCTGCTTGTCTTTACAAATTTGTAAAATAGTTTTTTTAATCAGCCTTGTACTGTTGACCATTGGCTGTGGCTTTGAAACCGGCACTTTATGTCTACATAAGCACAAAACACCACTCTAATCAGCAAAAATTTAGACCCTGTGGCAAATTACTGTGGCTACCATAGAATTTGAATCTTTGATTCCATTGCAATAGTAGACGCTAGTCCAAACAGGTGATAAAAGATTTACTGTAATGTGGAGCTGTAGAAAACATGAAATGGAGCGATGCAAAAATCCTTAGTTGGCAAACTGGCAATGGGATAAGAATACAAATGAAGTGCAATACACTTTTGATACTAAAAGAAGGTATAAAATATTCACAAATATATAGAGGTGTAATCACAGTGCAGATTAATATGCAGCATTGTGACGAATCGTGCATGGTTGTTTAAAAGTATTGTCAATAGTAGGATCATAGTCAACTGAGTGATATGTACATAATTATAGTTCATAATTTTCTTGAAAAGATTGTGAGAACGCAAGAATATAATCTTGTGTGCAGAATTTGAAGATCTTGATGGAGTCGTAGATTTCGCATTGGTAATTGCTGTTAGAATTTTATTTTGAAATAATATGATTTCCCCCCCTGTAAGTCTTGAGCACTGTTGTGACCACAGAGGGATGGTATAGAATAAAGTGGTGAAGCAAATCAATATAATTTTTTTGAGCCAACCAGCGGCCGAGCGGTAAAGACACTGAGCACTGGTAGTTCGGTCCGAGCTTCAAATCTCGCAAACGGGCTGGCTGTAAGGGCGTTTTTATGGTTTTCCCCATGTGTAACGTGTAATAATCCAATCCAATTTTTATAATGCATAAATCTAAGTTAGATCTAAGTTCTAAGTTCCCTGTGTGATTATAAATTGACATACAAGCAGTGTTGGCCTTTGTTTAAGGCATATGTTATGTACCTTTTAAAATTTAGTTGTTTGGCTAAAACAACAACTAAATATTTTGTGGAATGTACAGCTGAGAGGTGTGTATTTAATTAATTTAATTATGGCAAAGCACACGAGGGCTATCTGCCTAAGGGGGGGATGCCTTTGTGGAGGACTTTCTAAGGGAAACTGACTCACAGCTGAGAGAGTTTGATTATCAATCTTGAGGTTT